CCACCGAGTCCTCGTCTTCCTCAACACGACCACCATGTCAAAACGCACAACCTTCACCACAATCTCTCCCCTGCCCACCGGCATAAGCCGCGAGGCCGTCCTGGACTTCCTCCACAACCACCTGGACATGATCGACCTGAACCCTCTCATCAAGGAACGCCATGTTATCAAGCCACCCGCCCACGCCCCTCCCGAAGAGCATTCTTGCGTCTGGTACTCGCTCACCGACGAGATCTCCTACCTGCCCGGCGGATTGGCCACGGGCGACGTCAGCTACACCTGCGCTTTCCACGACCTGCCCACCGGCCTGCAGACCCACTGTTACGCCCCGATGGGTCTGGAGATCCGGGACAAGTGGACCGTGGCCGGCTCGCTCCCGGGTGAACCCATCGAACCCGTCGAGCTCGGCATCGGCGCCCCGCTGACCGGCCTGTACCTGCGCGAAGACGTTGACATGCGCTGCAACGTCTTTACCACCTCCTTCGTCAAGAAAACGCTCAAGAAGAGCCATGGCCAATTGGTCGAGCGCATCAAGTCCAAGATGCAGCAGCAGCAGCAAGCTTCTCCTGCGCCCTTCAACTCTTACCACCCGCCGTCCACGCATGCACGTCACCACAGCCAGAACTCGCTGCACGGGTCTTATGTCTCCAACTACCGTTCCAACAGCCCACCACAGATGCCTCCGGCACCCAACCATCCCGTCGCGAGCTATGCGACGCTCGGGAACCAGATGAACCTCCCAATTAGGCCATCATATAACAAATCCTTGCCGCCGCCGCCGCCACCCAACGATGCTGCCCAGAACCCAATTCAGAACGCATATCCAAGACCACTCCACATCCGTCAAGTCTCCAGGGGAGCGCCGGCAAAGTCGCAACCCGGCGCCTTGAGCAACAACAACCGCTACGCCCACTCCGACTATTCTGACTTCGCCACCAATCCGTACGAAGTAAAGCCGCCGTCGCACTCGAACTCGTCGCCCTATGCAGCAGGCCTCTCTGGCGGTGACGCAAAACGGCAACAGACAGGACCCTTTGTAGCCGAGCTGGAATGAGCCGCAGGTCGCAACGTTTCCAGCCGGTCCTTGATCTGTCTTTTCTTTTTTATGTGTGTTACCAGTCATTTGATGTAGCCTACGTGCGTTTCTTAGTTGATACCCCCTTTACTTGCAAAATACCTAGCAAAATCTATTGGCCAATCTCCATCTCTCTGTCGCTTCATCCACCACGTCATATAAGTGATCGTGTGCATCGGTGCGGCGCAGCAGCTTTCCGTGATTGGCAACCCGGGGGTCGGATTGTCCAATGGCATGTTATGCATCCCACCGCCAGTGTGACCTCGATGCAACCAACAAGCACCTTGCTATTTCCCAGCTTCGTACTGTACTTTGGTTGAATACTCTAGTCGATGAACCAAGAACACTTCTTCAGGTAGACGAATCCCTGCCACCTGCCGTCTGGAAGTCCCTTTCACTAAAGGTAGTAAGTAGTAGTATCGGACCTTGGGTGGTAAGTATTTGCATTTCCTCAACAAAGCTATCGTCACCAAACAAAGCAAGCATTTGATTTGAAATGTGTGTGTATTAGGTATAGGTAGTAAATAATACTCGACAACAACAACAAAAAAACTCAAGAGACAAAGCCAGGAAGCAAAAGCCCCCCCTTCCCCCCTCCTTTGGGAAACACGCGCGCGGGTGATTCTTTACAAAGGGAAAAAAAAAACGTCCCCTTTCATCCACTGCCGCGGCCAACGCCCATCCCCCGGTTTTTCTCCCGGGTTCCAGCGAGGCCGCCTGTCTGTCTCTGCTCTACGCACCTCTCTCTAAACAGTAACGTTTCTCCTTCCTCCCCTTTTGCTGCTGAGGAACCAGCCGCGTTCCCCCCCCGTCTATAGCTGCTCATCTCTGGGCATATCGGCGTCATAAAAAAGGGTGACATTAAAAATGAACAACAAAACAGGACGTGAAGATGGAAATCCAGAATGCAGATAAGAATGATGATGATGATGATGATGATGGCGATGGACAACCACCGCTTCGTGTCGTCAAGCAATGTTCCTTGTTCGTCGCCGTCCACACATGAACACGTTTCGTATCGTTGGGATGTCCGAGAGGAATGAAGAGATTCGGCAGCCGACGAGAGGATGGAGAACAAGGTGTGACGGGTGGTTGGCAAGGGGGGGTGTGGTGACAGAAGGCGCAGGAGCGCATTGGGACACTGGCTTCGATGCCCACACAGCCCTCTCTGCCTGCCCGTCAGACACCGTTGTCTTCCATCCATGTCTGCTGTGTTGTGAATTGAGTCGCTCTTCAGTTTTCCCAGTCAAGGCCATGAGAACACACGAAAACGATGGCGATGTTGATGTGAGGAGGGGGAAAAAGGTTGATTGAATTTGACGAACGGAGGATGGGAAGATTGGTGGGTGTGGAAGAGGGCTGCCCCGTTTACAGAGCGAAGACGGCGACGGCACCGGCGATGAGGGCCAGGGAGCCAGCGAGGGCGGCCTGCTTCTCGGCGCCGGCGACGACGACGTGTGTGGGGCAGGGGGCGCCGCCGCACTCGGTGCCGTTGCCAGCACCGCCAGAGCCGCCGGGTGTGCCGGGGGTGCCGGGAGTGCCAGGAGTGCCGGGAGTGCCAGGAGTGCCCGGGGTGCCAGGGGAACCGGGTGTGCCGTTTCCGCCGTTGCCTCCGTTTCCACCGTTTCCACCATTGCCTCCGTTGCCGCCGTTGCCTCCATTGCCGCCGTTTCCGCCGTTGCCAGCATCACCGCCCTCGCCACCGGGAGTAGCAGGGGTGCCGGGAGTGCTAGGAGTGCCAGGCGTACCGGGAACGGCAGGAGCGCTGGGAGCAGGGCCGGGGGCGCCAGACTGGCCGGGAACCTGGGGAGGAACCGCGGGGCCAGTAGGCACGGGGGCCGGGCAGGGGCTGCCGCCGCACTCGGTGCCGGGGACACCGGTCTCGACGGGGGGAGCGGGGGCGGGAGGGACGACGCCGGTGGGGTAGTAGCCGTGGTCGTAGTTGGTGGTCTAGCAAGCCAGAGTTTGTAAGTCATTGAAAACAGGCGAAGAAGTAAAGGGAAGAGAAAAAACTCACGTAGATTTCGGTGCAGGGGCAGTCGGGGATCTTGAAGGTGGTGGGCTTGTCGATCTTGTAGGTGCGGTTGTTGAAGTACAGGGTGGTGGGCTCGGGGCACCAAGTCTCGACCTGCTGGTGGACGCGGGTCAGGGTGACGATGGTGCCGTTTACGATGGCGAGGCTGCCGTCCTTGTGCTTGAAGGGGAGGTGGTTGGGCTTGGCGGCGGCCGTGGCGGCGAGGGCGCCGATGGTGACGAGGACGGATTGGATCTGCATTTTGATTTGATGAACCTGTTGTTGTCTGTTTGGATGTCGTTTTCTCGATGACGATGCCAAATGAGTGGACGGAAAAGGCGAGGCAAATGAGTGTGAGAGTCTGTCGAGCTTGTGTGAGGTGATGAGTGGACGACGATAAGATTATAAGACTCTTGTAAGGAGATGTGTGTGAGTTGCGCCTTGCGGGTTGCAGTTGGTTTTGAGTGAGTGTGGTTGGTTTATTAAGTGAGTGACTAGGGCCAGATGGAAACCAGAAAAGCAAAAAGGAGGGAGGGGGAGGGAAAACGAGGACAGACAAACGAAAGCCTGTGGTTGTCGACTGTTGGTGAGTGTGTGTGAGATGAGGAGGACAGAACATCGTCAAGCTGAAGAGTCGGCCTCTCTTTATGCTGCCTCTCCCTCACACGCCTTGGCAGGCTTCCAACCACGTTCAGGGGGGCGCCTTGACTGACGAGCTCGAGCGATGAGAGACACTGAGGAACAGAACGAGATTAGAACGATGCCCGACCTACACTGAGACAGAAGCCTTCCATCCAATGGGGTCCCGCGAGATAACGGGCCGGAATGTCGGTGGACCTCCCGGGTCCCGTGTTTGTTGTGGCCGCCGCGGCGCCAAGAATGTGAAAACCGGCCGCCGGAAATGTGGCGCATTCCAGACGTCAGGGGCAAGAGGGCCGCCGGTGAGACGGTTTAACCATAACGGCCTCAAAAGTAAACAAACGGTCATGCTTTTCCCGATTCGAGGCTCTTCACAGCTCATCAAACGCACATTCCCAAGGGACCGGTTTTGAATACCACTTTCATCTGCTTTCTCTCATTCAGGGTATGTCGAAGAGTTGAGCGGCTTTCCCCGACCCGGGTCGGGAAGCGCTGAGATATGTACAGTTGAGTCAAGCCGCTCGACGACCGCTCCTCCTCCCTTATTTTGCTTTTCCCCTCTGGTTTGTCCGTCCCACAGCAGCCGCTCACTTTTTCTCTCATCGTTCTCTTCTCGTCATGTTCCCACGTGTTTGTCACATCCCGGCGTGCCAACCAATGGCATCCGGGCGGGCCTTTCGCCTCGTCCTCCACTCTCACGCCAACAAGAATCGTTCGTTGGTCGCCTGTAGCTTCGTCTCGCGGATCGTGGTCGAGATTCGTGCTTCCATGCCGTCCTTCTATGATCATCCGCCCCGCCAGCCAGCTATGATTCAAGACAAGATGGAAAAAAAATTAAAAGAAAAAAAAAATTGGTAACAAAAGTGAAATCCGCATGTGATGATGATGACGTGATCATGTTCCGCGGAATCAGTTTCGCCGACTCATGGGGTCTCTCCTTCTAAGAATATTGTCCGTCCCCCAACGCCGTCATTTCCAAAAGAATCCAGATGGCAGAAGATCGGCCCTGCTCGGGCCTCTCCGAGAAAAGCAAAAGATCCTGCCCACCGCCTGGTAATGAATCAAAGACCACCATGTATGTATGCACAAGATTATGGTTTGTGGGTAAAGTGCCGTAAATGCCATCGGGGGGGCCTGCGCAACCAGCATCGACGAGGCGAGATTCTAAGCGTGCAAATCGTTCGAATCGCAATGCGAGATGTGCAGAAAATATCGCCGTCACTCAGTCGGTTCGTTGCGGTGTAGGCCGTCACTGACAGTCCGGAACATGGTTTATTTGCGGTTCGATCGGCTCGTGCTGCGTTCTACACCACGGCCGCCGACTGAGTCAAAGTCGTAGTTCTTCAGAGTGTGCTCGTATTTGGGGCTCCTCAGGAATTTGGGCACCGAGTCCTGTGACAAAGTGGGGTTAGTCATCGGGCCAAACATGCCGGGTTGAGTTGTGAAAGGAATAAACTTACGCTAGCCATCAACTTGAAAACTGCATTTTGCGCATCCTCAAACAGGGACATGACTTCTTGCAGAGTATCAATCATAGCGACGTCTTGGCCAACGGCTTTGGTCATGCGAGTGGCCAGGTTGTTGCGAAGTTGATGATCAATGTTCAACTCGCAGGGAGATCCGGGGGCGAGGAATGCATTATAAATCCCATAGGCCTGCGCCATGATCTCCTTGATGCCGTCCATCGAGTTCGCATTCGGGTTCTTCTGGGCGACCCTGATTGCTTGTCGGCAGCTGCGGACGAAATCGTCGACGTCCAGGTAGAAAGACAGGTTCTCCTCGCAGTGCGTTTCTCTCAGATTTTCCCTGAACAGCAGACGCAGGGCAGCGTCGTTGAGGATCTTGTCCAATCTCTGGGTGTTGGAGTCTCTCGCAATGACGTTGCGAGAAGAAGCCGGCGTGGCGGCTTCGCTCTCCGATGTCCGTCCTCTCACGCCGATACCGTTAATGAGATCCTTGCCCTTGGCCGTCAATTGATAGACGGAGTGCTTGGTGGGTTGGAACAGGTTGTTGCTCGGGTACTGTGCCATGTGTGCCCGATCCTGTACCACGGGTTCAATGAGGTCGTACTCCACGAACAAAGACGCAATGTCGTACGTCTCCCGACGGTCCACGGTTGTGCAGCAGTCCATCAGCCAGTCAGTGGCAGCCTTGCCGGTGAAGGTGTCCTTGTATGTCTTGCCGTTGACCTTGCGCTCGCTAGCCATCTTGACACCGGTAAGACCATCCTTGTAATCGCTCAAAGAGTCAGAATCGGCTGAGCTGACGCTTGACTTGACGTTGGGGCCGTGTGCGCCGATAAATCTCCTGAAGATGACCTCGATGGTGCCACGGTCTGTGATGAGCTTGTCAGTCTGGCCGTCCCTCTCGAGAATGACCAATTGCGATAGCGTGGCGCCGACCAGGTCGGAAATGGACTTTTGCTGGATGCCGTTGCGGGAGCAGAAGCGGTCGAGCACGGTGACGCCCTTGGGAGTCAGTTGCCACACGGAGCCCTTCATGTTGTACACCTGCTGGTACTTTCCGTCGGCCGACTCGATGAATCTCGCCTCGAGGAACTTTTGGCAAATGGAGCGGGCCATGTCCTTGGCCATGGAGAAGGTCGTTGTCGTCGTGGTTGTCACTATCCTGGAGGGGTCCTTGGGGTCGGGCATTCTGTTGGATTGGGAGAACTTGAGGGAACCCAGGTTGTTGATCGCATCTTCGGACAGAAAGGTGTTTTCCACTCTCGTCAATCGTACTCGGTGGGCGGACAAAGGCAAGAGGCTGACAATCAGGGTCGAGAAGAGATCCTTGAAGTCCTGCAGATTGCGTGTGTTAGCGCAACGATTGATGCAGGGCCCGTGGGCGGGGCAGAAGCGCGGGTGGTGATCGGGCTTGGGAGGAGGGGTTTCGCAGGGAATGCGTCCGGGTGATTAACTAACCTTTGTGAATGGGCGGTCATCGTCCGTCATGCGGAGGAGCCGCGACGATGTTTGATGCATCTTGCTCTCGATATTCGGCAGCCGAATGGGCAGAGGCCTGTTGGGGTCGGTTTCGCTGTAGGGTTGAGAGGGTGGATCCTGGACCAGCGACAACTGGCTTGGATACTTGCCCTCTGGGTGGTTGAGAGTGCTGGTCGACGACGACGAGTAGTTGGAGGGACTCGTGTATCGTGGGTATTTGTCTGTCGGGCCAATACTGGCAGCGTCGGAAGCCGAGTCGGGGGTGAAAGAGGCCCTGCCTAATGCGGAACTGGAGGCGCGCTGGCGTACAGACTGGTCTGAGGAGAAGGTCGCGAGAGCGGATTGGGTCTTGTCAAAGGCTGCAGCAGCGAAGCCAAAGAGACCGCCAGAACGTTGCAGCTTTTGCAAAGAACTGATTGATGGCGAGTGGTGGTGAGAACGGTAATACGGGCGATTGACCGAAGAGACGGGGACAGCGTGGTAGGGATCGGTCGATGATGATGTAGTGTTGGTGTTGGTGGTAGTGGAGGAGGTGGTGGTAGCGGCAGCAGCAGCAGTGGCAGCAGCAGATGATTGAGTAGCAGTGTTGGTAGTGGTGGTGGTGGTAATAGGGTTGGGGTTGGCGCTGGTGGTGGTGCGTGAACGAGGTTGCAGGTTGGCCTCGTTAGACTGTGGCTCGTGGTTCGGAGGTCGGGAAGTCTTGGAGACAGCGGCCATCTAATGGGAAAAGGAGGGTTAGGAAAAGCGCGGACGGCGTGACGGGCGTTCAAATAAAAGGAAGGCGCAAGAAGAAAAAAAAAAAAAAAAAAGGAAGAGAAAGCGGGCTTGGTGAGGCAGGGCGTGGAGGAGGAGAGGAGGTGTGTGGTGTCTGGTGGTGGTAATGGTGGAGGAGAAGGAGAATAAGGGACATGGGGAGTCGAATGGAGCACTAAGGTGAGGTGTATGGCATGGTAAAGCGAGCAAAGTACAGTACAGAGTACACAGGCCTCAAGGGGCTGATGTACATGTAGACGGCGGAACCCTGCAAGTAGACAATACAAGGGGGGGAGGGGGGCTAGTGGGAGTGGAAGTGGGAGGAGTAAGAGACGAGGTACCCTGGGTACAAGGAGACAGCCAGAGAGCCAGAGAGAGGGATAGAGAGAGAGGAGAAGGCAGAGAGAGGGATGAGAGGACACCACTGGACTTGGGCCTGGACACCACACACACACACACCCGTGCTGGACGCTCTCACAACACGCACACACACACACACACACACACACACACGCTCATAGACACACACACCTCTCTCTCTCTCTCTGAACCACTCTCGCTATCTCTCTCACACTCTCCCTCTGTGAGAGGCCGCAAGTCGAATGCCCTGGACGATGCTCCACACTACGGCCGGCGAACGACGGCCGGGTCGGGTGGGATGCAGACCAGTTGGTTTCGGTGTTGAAATTGGCGCCGGTACTTCAGGCACGGCTCAAAAGGAAACCGGGGGTTGTGATATATGGGGATATGTGTGTGCGCGCGTGTGTGTGTACATGGAAACGACTAAGACGCGAATGGGGCAGTGACGACAGACAGATAGGGGAGGGTAAGGTGAGGTAAGGTAGGCAAAGACGTAGGTAGGTTTGTAACCATTGGTAGGTAATCAGAAAAGCCTCTTTCACAGAGGCAGGTATGCGCAGAGTAAGGTAGGTAGGTAGGTACGGATACAACAGATGGCCTGAGGTAAGACGGGCAGGGGACTCACTGGTGCTGATGGTGATCTGACTGATACCGCTGACCAGTCCAGGGCTCGACTGTCCGTGAACGACCTTGCCGGGCTGGACGATGCTCAAACTGCCCTGGAAAGCATAGGGCAGACGCTTGTGACAGGGCTCGACGGAAATAACAGCCGTAAGGATATGGTATTAATGGCAAGGTGTGGAAATGCGAGGCCAGAATAAGATGACGGCGGTCGTGCTTCTCTGGTAGGTACGGGATGCGCCTCCTCCACGAGCCGGGGGAGAGAGATTTGAAGACGAGGGTACGGCAGCTAGGTAAGGTACCGTACGGCCACGCAGGACTCGATAGCGATGCGCAGGATGAGGATCCGAGAAAATCGTATTCCTAGGTCTAGGTGCGCCTTGAGGGGAGAGCGGCAGATGCGCGGACTAGAAATCTGGGCTTGGACTGAATCGGTTTGGGCTGGGCTGGTGTGTACTGGACTCTGCTTGTCTGGAAACTGGCTGTTCCGTCCGTGAGAGTGAGAGAGGAGGTTGATGACTGGGTAGATGTGATTTTGGGGCTTGAGTTAGACTGGATTCAAGTGCCTGGGGAGTGGATTGGAAGGGGAAAAGAAGCAGCCTAACGAGCACCGTCAGTTCGGTAGCCAGGGCGCAGTCGTTGCCGTCGTCGTTGTCGAGTCGAGTAACGACGTCGTCAGGGACAGATAAGGTAAGGTAAGGTAAGGTAGGCGAGCTAGCAAGCAAGAAAGCAAAGCGGAAGCCAGGCGGAATAGCAAGTAGGAAAGACTTGTTGAAAGTTGGACTTGAACATGGACAGACAGACAGACCACGAACAACGACGGTGTCGGTAGAAGTTGACCAGCACAAGCAAGCCCAAGAAAGACCACGGCCAAACCACCGCACGACAAGACAGGGGCAGGGGCAATCCGACTTTTTTAGGGGAGACCTTGGACGAGAGCCAGACGGCGGAAGACTGGAAGCTGGACTGGAGTTGGACTGGCACATTCGCGGAGCAGATGTGAATGGCGATGGATCCCAGGTTTTGCAGAGAAAACTGCCACCTGCCGTTGAACACCCTGGTCCGCCCCGGTTAAGGATCCACCGTCGTCCCCGCTGATGGCGGCCCTTTGCAGTTGCGGCCCCCCCCCTTTCAGTGCTCAGAGTGCCTCCTCCATCCCCCCCTCCAGTGTCCCCTCCCTGGCCCTTGAGGTCGGGCAGTCTTCAATGAGCATTTCTTCCTTCTCCCCTCAGTGCTACACTCCACCGTACCGCTGGTTGGTCCCACCGAGGGGGCCATTGGCACCTCACCACAACCTCATCCCCCCATCAGCGGGCCAGGGCACATGGGCAGCCATGGAATCAACCGCTACACTCCATTATTGTCTGGCATGTAAGGCAAGGCAAGGTGGTGGTACGGAAGAAGGTACTCCAGCCATGCAGGAGCCTACGCTGCTACGCCAAGTACCTTTCTTGCCATGCATTACCCTTTTACTTTCCGCAGTGCCATGTGCCGCCCTGCCTCCCATTCCATCATATCCTCAATCACACCTCACCTCACCTTACCCCGGCACGCCTTATACCACACCATATACCCTGCTTGCTCTATGCCTTGCCCTCCCGTAACGCCGTAGTCTCTTCTGTAAGGTACTACTATCGCACAGTAAGTCCCTCTGGAATTACAGAGACTACCGGACTCCGTCTCCGTAGCGGAGTAAGGTACACACGATAGCCTGATGCCCTTCAGCGTGTGAATGCCTGCTGCCCCCCGTGTGCACCAGCCATTGCCATGCCCCCATGCCCTGCGCGGGCCTAGATCAACCCATCCAACCCCCTCCCATTCATGTACGGTGCCCTAAAGGGAAGAGAAGACGTGAGATGCGGTGTGCTGACGAGGAGAGAACGACGGTCTGGGCAATCCTGACCGTTAGAACTTAGGTAAGGAGGCGTCTGCACCGTGGATGAAGGTGAAGGGACCGGAACGAATTGTTATGTGGTTCTCCCCCTCCCTGAAGCGGGATTGAAGTGGGTAGGGGGAGAGGCCGAGGCCAAGGAGCTGCAGCTGTTCCCTCTGCTGTCTCAACGACACGACGTTACGTACAGCATGGCCCCCCATCTGCCCTGAAAGAACGGGCAGAATAGATGGAAGAAGAAAACTCTGACGTTTGATCAAATTGCTGCGTGGTAACGGCCCCCAAACGGGACCAAAAGGGGCCGAGATGGGGGAACGGTGCCTCCGAATAGACGTACAAGAAAAAAAAGAACTCCATCGTTCGTGCTGCCGGTTGACATGAATGAATGAATGACTGCCGGAACGTGATGCTTAGCCCCAAACCATGACGGAAATAAGATCCATCAGCAATTATCAAGACAAGCAAGTCCGGAGTAGCCTGGGCCCTTGTTGCACGCCGGTTCGCTTCGGGAAGCGTCTTTCGGGACTTTCTCCGGCGGGCTCACGTTTGCCTGCGGATATTGGGCTTCGTTATTTTTTTTTCCTTCAACCCGCCGCACATTCAAACCATGACAATGTAGTTTCGCACACACACACCTCAAGGCCCAGGCCTATCACGCAGCCCAACATTACCCGTCCCTTCGGATATGGGGGATTACATCACACGGGAAAGAAATTCAATAACATTGGCCGGGTGCCTGAACCAAACCAAACGAGTCGTATGAACCATGTCAGGTCGCCGTTCTCTCGGCCTTTCTTTGTCCAGACTCCAGGGCGGCAATGCTGCAGCAGCAGAGGCAGAGGCAGAGTGAGTGAGGAAACAGTCCGGCCACCACACACCTCGCGCCTCGCACATTTCACCTCCGGACGATGTCGCCCCTTGGACGAGGTTTCGTCCACGGCTGGGTGCCATTTGATCGGATGCTGTGGGCAGAACATCTGCCATGTCACCACCCATAGTTGCAGGCAAAAAAGGCAATATATCCTCGTCATGCGGCCGTTCCAGCCCAACTAGTTGGGGCAGAAACTCTGCAGCAGAGAAGAGAGGTAGGCACATCGCTGCGAGATGTTTCGTACGAGACGAAAGTCCGCCATTTCCGTACAAAGACAATACGGGTGTTGTATGGGCATTGCAACAAAGAAAGCAACCAGAAGCGATGGGGTTGAGGCACGTGTATGAAGGTTGCCGTTTGAGTACGTTAGCTGCTGGTGGCTTGAGCAAATGTAAAGAAAGACCTCTGTCTCCGTTTTGAGCCTCTCTAGCTGTGGGCCGACAACCTGGACCAAAACGCAGCACATGTACGCATGTGTACGGATTCAAGGTCGGCGATATCACAACTGGAACCCATGCATTCAAGTATGAGCCATTCATCAGCATGAGCAGTTTAGACGTCGTGGTGATACAACCGCATGCATTCGACTGCATGTGCATGTCGTCCGTGGCTCACACGCCTTCGTATTACAGGGGCACGTGCCGGGACAAACAATCGTATTCTGGTTATCTACTCGTGTGTACACATATGAGGGTATGATTTTACATTGATTCTGATGTCAGAGGCCGGCCGGGCGGCACCTCGTCGTTTGATGGAGATCGGAAGCGGGCAACAAGATGGATGGATGGAAGACAGGACAGCCAGATACTGCGCAGTAGATGGTGGGGGGACGGGGAGGACGGATGTTAGCACAGCACAGAGGGGCGAGCAGAAAAGAAGTTGGAGGGTATATACGGTAGGTAGGTACGGCGTCCGCATCAGGGGGACGATGGCGTAAAGGAGTGTACTGCGTACCCCGACTTGGGGCAGACAGAATAAGAATAGGTCGACACTCTCGCCATCTGATATTGGTATGCGCAACTCTGTTCTCCCACCTCATTGGAAAGACGGGAACACAAGGGCTTAGGAACGGTGTCAAAGCACCGAGGGGAAAGAGGGGAGGGGCCTAGACCTAGGCACCGCACCGGCAGCAACTACCAGCAACTACTCGCAGCCCGCCCTGAAGCTTGAGGTGTTGAGTCTTTGAGCGGCAATCAACCAACCCAGCACACAAAGTAGAGA